AAGATGCATTATGTAAAGGTACAATTCCCAATGAGAAATGTAATTGTGTTGTATACCTACAATGTACCAATAAAAGAATTTAATAAAAAAGTCTGCTTTGATTAAATTAATATTTCTTGTACTTAAGTAAACATTTCTGTTTGTTCTCACAAGTAAAAAACAGGTAAATGAATATCCCCTTAATGAGTAAGCCACAGAACAGCTAGCCCCAGCCTAAATTAGACACCAGGGATTTCTGGATGAGTGCAGCTTTATGCAATAAATAAAGCTATATATTTTTAGCCCTGTAAACCAGCACCCATACAAGCACTGGTTTGTGGCCCTTCAGAGAAAGCATGTCAATGTCCAGCTTTCCTAACATGGAAAAAAAGTAAGGACATGTTCTCCCTCCTAGAAAATTTTTTGAACCATTGAACAAGAGTTTATATTCTCACCAGAGTATATTTTGCCTTTTCTGAGGGAAAGAAGAAGATACTAGAAATACAACTTTCACCTTGAACAACAATTTTTTTTTTAGCGCTTATCTTAGTGGGTTTTACAGGCTTCCATCCTCACACCTCGCCCAAAGATTTATATGGAATCGTTAAAGGGGCTTTTAACTATTGAACCTCAAGGATTTTATCATTCTTTTTTCATACTACTCGATCGGTTTTCTTTTGCATAATATTAACTGCTCTCTTGTGCAATGGAAGATGATATCTTTGTAGCATTACTAATTTTTCTTTTCTTTTTAACAGAAGGAACAGTAATTTCTCAATTTGATCCAAATCATCCATGTAAACTTTCTCATGGAAAAGAGAGCTAAGATTCATTGAATATCTACCATATTCAGCCATGTAGTAAGCTCTTCACCTAATTATCTAATTACTTCCCACAATTACCCAGTTAGATGTTATGTCTGTTTTATGGATTTAAAAAAAATTAAAGTTCAGACAGCTAAAGCACTCTGTTCAGGGCTGCCTGCCTGGTAAATGATGAATCTGGCCGGACCTGTCTGACCAATGCTGTGAACTCAAACTACATGCCCCATAATCCACTGAAATTCTCACTCAGGAAAGACTCATCTTGTTTCCTGCCAAGAGCTGAATGTCATCCATTTTCCTTGTCACCTAAACATGCACCTTCTTTCAAATAATGCTTGCTATTTAAGTTTTTGAAGAAAAGTAAAGTCAAGAAAATATCAGAAAACACATTAGCATTTCTGCCTGAAATTCCCTACCACAGAGGACATGCATTCCCTTCAAGATAGCCATGATAAAAAGGGAAAAAAAGACAGAGGCAAAGACTGGACCTTTGAAGCCTCCAACAAGCAATATGTGACTTAATATCTCAAAGTAATCTCTCATTAGCAGATGGTTTATCCCCTAACAAGACCAAACACAGCACCTAGAAGATGGCCAACATGCACACCAGCCTTCTTTTCCAGTTGTCAATGCAGGTCTGGCTCTGTTTTTTATCCTTACCGTGGTATTTTCTTTAAAAGGTTCCTTCTCACTTTTGTGTCTCCCTCCCTACCCTGTCCCAGACAATCCAACAGACCCCAAGCTGAGTCAAGCTTTCTGAGAAGTAGACAGAACGCTCAGCCTTTGGAGACCATGCCTGAGAGATGCCACACTTAGTGAGACTAACCCCAATTCCTAGATGTAAGAGCTCCAGAACATTGTAAGGCCAGGCATTTTTCTGTTAATCACAAAAGATGGATGTAACACTTGTTTAAACATCAGAAAACCCAATATTTCTTTTTTTAAAATTCCCCTGCCATATCTGGTCCAACCAAAGCTACTCCATCAAATTGATTTCTAAAACACAGACCAATAAAAAGGAACCACACACTCACGCAAAAAAAGCAACTTTGCTCCACAAGCAAAATTTGTCACATGAGGAGTCAATGTCTATTCCCCACAGTGCTTATGTAACCCACCTCAAGAAATAAATTAGTCCAACAACTTCAGCATTCCTCCACCTAACTTGTCAGTCTTGGAGAAATATGCTATCAACATAGTTAAGACCTTACCTTTCTATACACGACAAAATGGTGATTAAAAGTTATTTTCTTCCATTCAGTTATGGAGACGCTCGCTGCTGCAACTTGAGGACCTCGGGGGAACACTCCCTCTGCCCTGCCCTGCCTCTCCAGCCCTCCTTTCACCTTCAGTCAAACATTAACCATTAACATTTTTATTGATCTTTGGAACACACTGGGTATCATAAAAGGTATCATTACATTCATTCCAGGAAAGAAATGTGTGTGTACCAAAAGAACTCCCATTCATATCTAATGCATCTCAAGACAGGTTGCTGAATTTTTTAATATACATGAGTAAATTACGGCAGAAGACAAGAAGTTAGAGTAGAAAAACTGTACATTCAACTACATATCTCCAGAGTGTGAAGTCTATGACATCAAAGACAGTTTTGTTAAAATTTTGCACACTCCAACATTCAGTGTAGTCAGTGTCTGCAGAGGAGACCTGGTCAACAAATACTTGTGTGGATTCCACGACAAAGACAGGAGACACGGAGTACAGATGCAGGATGCCAAGTCTGAGCAATGATGTAAGTCACTGATAACGAGTCACAAGAGACATAAATGACTCAGAAAGTATGATCATTGCCCTTGCTTCTGAAATTCAAGGGTGCCCCCCAAAGTCTTCATGAAACAACCAATAGCACTTCCCCAAAAAGCACAAGTTTTTGTTGTTATTGTTTTTGTTGTTTTCCCCACAATTCAGGGAATGAACTTACCTAAAAATAAGCGCGCGCTCACACACACACCCAGTTCAAGCCAATACTTCTGGACTTCTGAAGTCAACGCCTCTTTTAGAGTCCTGATTCCTAAATTCAGTTGCTCTGGAAGTCCCCAGTGAAGAGAATTGATCTACTTTTGGGTCAGCTGGGCCCACTTTGGGCTGCTTCTGCAGACCTTCTGAGGTTTATTTCTGGGCTTCTCCCAAAGTGGGCTTGCAAGTTCCTTTTGTCTGTGGTGCATCCAGCCCAGTGACAGTACAAGGACCAGTCTGCTCTCCTCCCCGCTCCCCACCCTTCCTAGGTGTCATGAGAAGCTTTCACACATGCTCTAAGCCACTGATGAGAAGAGACCTTGTTTGCTGCGGGGACACAAAAAGTGAAGCCACCCCATTGCACTTCGGTGGTCAGTATCCTCGGTGGAGCTGTGGGCTCAGGAAGGCCCCCCTTCCTTTCCCTCACAGCCAACATCCCTCAGGTAGGGAAATGGGCTAAGCACTTCTCAAATTCTCACCACCTCTTCCCTTGCATTACCCGAATATAAAATAACCCTGTTCTATAAAATCAACTCACTTCCACTTGCTGTATTTCACTTCCTGAAGTCAATACCATCTCATCTCACGGCCTTGCTCTGAAAGGGGTTTGCATCTTCTCTGGAAGCTTTTTAATAATTATGTAAAAGTGATCTTAAGTCTATATAAGGTTTTTAAGACATAAAGTGCATATATGTATCATTTTTAGGTATTAATGTTTTTTAGTAACATTACACTTCTATGTTCCTGGCATATGAGTATATCCATTAAAAATATTTTTCAGTTATTCTTTAGGACATGTCTATGAATAGATTCCAGTGTAAAGATAATAAACAGAGGCACAGAAAAAGTTTACATCTTGCCCAAGTCATACAACCTGTGATGATAAAATCATGACTCCATCTCTGGTCTGTTTTAAAGTCCAGGTAATTCACACAACTTCAAGCCTGCTAAATTAAAATTCCACAAGGACAAAGTCCCTCTGTGGGAGCCCATTCTTGCTGGGAGGTGGCCACATTCCTACCTGTGCTCCCCTGTACACTTCATACTACTTCTAGCTGTGGCTTCCAACTCAGAGAATCAGGTATATTTAACTCTGAAAAGGCTAAAGTCAGCCATCAGAGACTGTAACAGTTGATTGCATTTCAGAATGAGACTCTGTCCTGGACTCTCTGGGATAAAAGGTTCACATGTTTCTCAGAGCCATTTTTATACTTGTCACCATGTGTTACACATTCTTCCAGATTAAACCCAAAGATTAAGAGCATGCAGATTTCAAGGTGAACACCACCATGTTTTAGGAATCCATTTACATGCAAGAGTGAGACACTGCTAGTTCAAAAGTTTAGTGCTCAGTAATAGGAATAAGGAAAATACAGTTAATAAAAACTATAGTTCCCTTTTTCAGAGCAATGAAGATATTTTTATGATGGAAACAAGTGAACAGTTAAAAAGACTTGAGAAAATGCTTTTAATTAAACAGTTTCATGAGACCGAAAATATTATAGCACTTTTATCTAGAATAATATTTTAACCATTTCTCCAACATTGGTCCTAGAGAATATATAAGTGATGCTTAAATTATGGATAAGGCTAGTGAGCAAGGAATAAAATCTGGATAGACTCCCAGACAAAAATTTTATGAATCTGTGAAATTATTCTTAAAATTCAAAGTATGTTGCATTTCTATTACTTTTATGCTTTAAAACTCAAATAAGTGGAATCTATGAGTGCTAATATTTTCCACTTTTCATGCACTTTAATATGATCTTCCATTACATGTTATATATGTATTCCGAGAACATTTTTTTCATGAGTCTATCAACACACAAGCCTTAACAGAATTGTATGACACTTTTATATTACTATGTGACCTATGCTTATTAACTTAATGATGGCAAAAGCTTTGTCTTCCAGGTTCTTAGTAAATACTTCTTAGAACTGAACTCCCTTCAGTTATTTAATTGAATAATTCTAAAGGGTCAGTTTTAACTACAGGTTCAACCAAGGCTGATGGAAACCCAACCAAATGAATGATTTTGGACCCTGTTCCAACCAACACATTTGTTCCACATGTATTTAGTAGAATGAAGTGAAAGTAATTTTCTGCTAGTTGATGCTTTAGGTTAAAACAGAATCTTCCCTAATTATTGTCACTGGCCAGGACAGAGTTTATTTTCTGATACATTTAAGCAAAACATCACCACTTTCATGTAGCAATTATGCCTGTTTCTGGTTTGTTTGGGTTAGGATATTTAGTTTGGTAAATTTTTTATTGTCAGTTTTGTTTCTGTTTTTGACAAATTTCTAAACCAGATCACTTTATGGAACCATTAAAGGAGTTAAAACTTAGAAATCAAGGTGAACCAAAAAAAACACTGAGCCATGTATAATGCTGTTTCAAAATCCTAGCTGATAGCCACCTTGTACTCTTCCTAAACATAGTCAACAAAGAAATTTGCAATTAGTAAAGAATTTTTTCTCTGTTTGCTCTGACAAGAGTGGGCCCAGGTTGTAGTTGTTTAGGTGGTTTCTCTAAGCAACTGCCCAGGAGGTGAGGCCTTCAGCCATGCCTCACGACATGAAACTGGTAGAGTTCCATAAAAAGACTAGAAAGTATTCACTTCACCAGCTGTACACTGGGCACAAGGCTTCTAGGTTTGGAAAGTCTGGAGGGTTTATCAAAACTGGGCTAACACCATGGGTCGATAGTTCTGGGATCCCAGGGACTTTTAAATACTCTGGATTTCTGTTGCAGGATAACATGGACTTCTATGAGAAACACTAAGCCTCCGAATTCTGTATTTATCTGCCTGTAAATATTCCTTAGCAAGGTCTGTACTTAAGTGAGACTAATCTTTTCCCACCTCATAGGATCTGTTTCTGCACATTATCTCAGCCAGTAATTCAGGTGGTCTGATGTTGAACATGCCAGCTAGATCAGGCAGACATGAATGTGTATTTCTCCCCACAGTTTTTCTCTCAATCAAATGAACTTTTTATCTGACCTTGGGTTATCTTTAAATTCCAAAGAATAATAATTGTGTTGGTTTTCTGAGACCTATCTGTGTCTCTAACAGATTTCACCAAACAAGGTTTTATTCACATTGCATTCACTGTGCGTGACTTCCACCATTAGCCCACTGAAGTCACATTCACCAAGATGAACAACCACCTTCTCGTGATAATCAAGGGACTCTTTCCAGTCTGCACCTTATCAACCTCTCATAGCATTCAACACCATCCACAGCTCTCCTCGAGTCACCCTTGATGCCCTGGCTTCATCACTAGTACTGTGTCCTGGTTTTTTTCTACCTCTCAAGCAGTCCCTTGCAATCCTATGCATGGGCTCCTTGGGCCCTCAAGTCCAATCCCAGTTTATGTTGTCACCCACACTGGGAGACAGGCTCCGATCTTCATCCCAGAGTCTCAAGTCTCCCTCGGCCCAGCTCTCACTTCTAGTCAGGGCTCTTCTATGTCCAACTACCTAGTGTTCATGTTCACTCAAATGTCCTGTGTACTGTTTTAATGCCTTAAAAACAAGCTTCTCCTGGGACACCATGCCTTCATGCTAGTCCTGGCAGCCTCACAGCTTAGCCAGACAGCATGCTGTGGTTAGTCAGTGGCCTCTCTCCTAGGTAAAAAGAGATGACAGACGTGTAAGTGCATGTGTTTCATTCCTTTTGCATAGAAATATTCTGTGACATGAGTACTACTATTCACTCAATAGATAGTCATTTCCCTTCTCCACCTATGGGTTTCTCACTAAAGACACCAAAACACTAAGTGCCTCTGGAAACTTTGCCCTTAAGACTTTTCAACAAAGGGTAGAATAGACATCCACATGAATGTAATTGAATTCCTATCTCACAACTACTCAGAAAAATTAAACTGTGTCAAAGACGTACATGCATAAGCCAAAACTATAAAACTCTTAGGGTATAGCAAGGGAAAATCTTTCTCATTTTCGACTTGGAAGTGATCTGTTACTGCTAACATCAAAAGCACAAACAGTGGGAAAAAAACAAGTTGGACTTCATCAAAATTAAGAACTCTTGGGCCAGGGATTTAGCTCAGTGGCACCATGCCTGCCTTGCAAGCCCAAGGTCCTGAGTTTGATCCCTAGTACCAAAAAAAAAATTAAGAACTCTTGTGCTTCAAAAACACTATTAACACATTGAGACGGTGCAGTTAGAGAGAATCTTGGTATAAATACTGACCCCACCCAGTTCTCTGGTACTTGTGAGACCTTAGGAGACAAAGATGTCAGAAAAGTTTTAAACAAATACTACCTGCCAGACTTTTCCTGGTCAAAGATCCCCGAGCTCAAGCTCTCCAAA